GGATAGTATTGTAGAAGGTGATTCTATAACCGAAGAAAGGGGGGAAAAGGAAAAAGGGAAAACTTTGTCAAAGCAAACAATAACGAGAAAGAGTCTTAGAAACAGAAGAATGCCAAAAAGGTATAATGAGTTTATAATGAAATAAGCAAGCAAGTTAAGATTTATAAATCTAGATTGACAAGTTACATTGATAGTGATTTTGTCACAACAAGAAGTTTTAGTTTTGTGTTTATAAAGAAAACAGTTGTTCAGAGTTTAGTTTTGTGTTTATAAAGTAAACAGTTGTTCAGAGTGTTAACAGGGAAATGTTTAGTGTTATAAAAGTTATTGAGTTAAGGTTCTATTCGAGGTTAAGGGGGATGTGGTGTTGTGATTATTTACAATATTGGCAGTAGCGCCACCTATTGGCGTTAAGGTTGGAAACTTGGAGAGGAGCCATAATGACGATGAATGAATAAAGGCAGAGAACCATATGATGAGTTCTAGTGCTTGTACTTCATTTGATGTATGCTTAGTTACATGATATACTACCGACAGTACAACATTACAAATAGCATACAAAATATGTCTATGTCAAAGTTAATGATAAAAACAGTAAATAGGCAGTAAATACAGTAAGGTAACTATGAGACAAAAATATAGTAAATAATAAGGAAGCTATAGAAATATAGAAATATAAAAATATTTAATAAATATTTTTCATAAATCGTATACTACTTAGTATTACTAAACTTTAGGTCTTCTTTATGCTCATTTTATGAAAAATTAGAAAATTTTAATTGCATATTGTATAATCCAATCTAATAATATTTCACTTGAGACAAATAATAACAGCAATTATGAATAATTTGATTTGTTGCCATGCAGTTATAAAAGTTGCGTAGCACTTCAATATAGTTGTTCCTTTTCTTTTCTTACATAATGCTCTTCTAACTTCTATAATATAATAGATAATTTAAATACAAAAAACTTATCACAATTTCAATATTAAGTTTTAAGCATCCCTTTATACATAATTTTCATGAATAAAATAGGAAATTTAAATTTTCATAGCAATGGTTTCTATGGTGTTGACCTTGTATTGTATACATTAATGTTTGTTCAATAGGAGAATGTTTATTATAAAAAAATATTGTATTTCATGATTTTTGCTTGATCAGTGACAAATATACAGCATTTCTGCTGATTTTCCTTTGTTGCTATGGATAATAAAAATTGTGTTGCTATGTTTTTTTGCATAACAATAATAATAATTCTGGATTTATATAATCCTATTCTATGATAATAGATGATTTAGATATTTACAATATATTCATATAATCTATGAAAATTAAGATTTTAATAAACTTTAAGCATCCCATATACTTAAATTTCACGAATAAACTTTTCATAGCAACAGTTGCTATGGTGATTGAAATTATAGTTTTCCTCAACGCAAGATTTATTTTCGATGATTAAAGAATATTTTGAGTAAGTTTCACCAATTGTTGATAATTATTATTCGAGTAATGTTATTTTTTAAATAATTTAGATACAGCTATAATTTAAATTGGATTGCATTTTGAATGCATCATTTGGACGTGTTCCCCCAAAAGGATTGGGTAATTTTAAGTTCTGAGCTTCTCAAGACTCATTTTTTAGAAAATATCAAAATTAGCCGGTAATACTTCAATTGTCACCTCAAAGATTTTTAAAGGACTTTTTGGCCATAATCTGCTCGCTAGTTCAGCCTAGAGTAATCATTTCGATTTTTCAATTACTTATTCAACCACAAGTCAAATGATAAAAAATTAGTAGGAACAGTTAAATAATTCTGCATAACCCTAGAAGGGCCACTGTCCCTTTAACCAAGACACACAAAATGTGTACAAACATCTAAAAAGAAAGTATGTGATTGAATGACCATAAAACACTTAAGATTAAAATGATTTGAATTAAGGATTTTTGTAAGATGAGATCTACAAAAATTGTTCATGTTCATCAATTAATATATTAATATTTATTTATTATACAGTATAACAAAAAAAATAACCAAAAAAAAGCAAGTAAGCACATACTGTAAAGACTTTATTTTCGCACACAACTAATTTTTGTGATTTCTGCTATAAACTGATGATCACTAAAATTAAGGAAACACGAAAAAGCACGAAATTCTGAATGATAGTTATGTCATGGTTTTGTCTTCAAAGCAAAGCAGGGTTGTATACAACATAAAATTTCGTGAATAAAGATTTCATGGAAACGTTCTGCTTCTTTGTGTATTATTTTTCAATCATTCATTCGCATTTAAAAGTTAAATGCAGTATTATAAATGACTAATGTCATCCATATTCATATGCAGTGAAAACATTAACTAGCACAATCTTTTTTAAAGTTTTTTTGTTTCTTTAAAATCTGTACAATCTGACGGTAGAGAGTTCTTGGTAAAGATTTTGTTAGGTCTACATTTGCTGAAAGATTTCTATCATTTCAATTTGAAAAAACCTCAGTCAAGACTTCACAGGCAGGCTTGCCCAGCCCTGGAGTACTGTAGTTGCAGTAGGTCTGCCTATGGGCCAAGTACTGTATTGGTACTGGTACCTGTCTGATTTCAGACATTCAGCAGTCATTGACATTATGTTGGAGTTAAAAGACTGCATATTGATGACCAGTGTACAAACAATTACCAAAAACAAAAAATATTGGAAAACTGAATGCTATTTACAAAATATTCTATTTAAAGCTTATGGGTGAAACTTTCTGCTAGACTAAAAATCGGAAGGGTAGGATATTGCTAAAAAAAAAACTGGGAGAAACCCACAAAAATCGGGTTCACTAGCTATTACATAGGCCAAAAAAAAACTTAATAGTGTGTTTCTGCATCATTTTACAAAACGACTGGAAATTGTAAAATCATGAAAATAAAAGGACAGAATATTTTAAATTGTGAAAATAAAGGGCTATATATTTGTTTACTATACACTTAATAGTATAGTAAAAAAATATACAAATAGACAAATAAACAAATAAATAAAATAAACAAATCCCTACCTTGCTCCACAACCTCTTCCATTATCCCCATGAAAGTATTCATAGAACAAAATAAGGTCCTTCCAATTTGGATCATCTTTGTACATGTCATTCTGCCCGTGGCACGGTCTTCGCCCATTCTCATCCGGGAGAAACAATGAACTGAGTCGTCTGGAAATTTCCTTTGCACACTCTTTCAGACACATGAGTTTTCCGGAGCCGGTCGGGCATTCTACTTTAAATGCTTCTCCATAAAAGTAGTCGTACCGTTCCAAAGCCTCGATTATCAGATAGTTTACTGCAATAAATAATTTTTATTTACTTATTTATTAAAATTCTCATTTAACAGCTGGAATCTGCTACTTTACAGAATGGAAGTTAAACAGCAAAATTATAATTAAGGCAAGACTTTTTATATACCTTGTCTCGCCAACTTTTTTAGAAATCGTCAGAGGAGGGCGGGAAAAAACAAAAATAAAATGTCAGTGTTGTCTTATTTAGCAAATAGTTTTGCCAAAAACATCCAGTCAGAGGAGAAAATGAAAATAAAATGTTATTGTTGAATGTAAACAGTGTAGTAATGAAATGGTTAAATGCTTGAAATTTACATAATTAGGAAGAAATATACATATCTCATTTTTTGAGATTTCAAGGCAATGGTGGGCATAATAAAAACAACGAAAAACTTTTATTTTTTTTTCTGAAAATTCAATCTTTTCGAGGCAGCAGGTGCACAAATTGACAAAAGATAAAATTTTATTTTTATTTGAAATCTTCATTATTGGAGGACGGCAGGTTCGCTAAACAAGGTATAAAAAAAGTAATATATAAGCTTACCGCAAAGCCAAATTGGCCCTCGCCAGTTGCTGTTTCCCCCAAAGAGGTAGGTACTCGACTCCCCTGGTACATAGTCAACTCTGTACTCCTCATTACCAACGTGCACTGAGAATGGCTTATCAGCATGAGCCTACACATACACACACAAAAAAAACAAAACAAAAAAAAAAACATGAGTAGCTGTGGTATAGCCTTCTGGATTTGGTATTTGTTTGTTTTTTCTAGCCCTGAAGAGTTTGTCTTGTCTAATACAAATATCTTTAAATTACCACCTAATATAATAGACAATAAAAAGGATTAATAATATATATCTGTTTGTTAATAAGTATAAGAAAACATTTTCTTCCCCCAATTTATAAATATACATAGTATATGCATAAATATACAAAGTAATTGTATAATATGTTTAAGTCTATCAGCTTGACAAATACAATTTAAATAAAATAAACTACTGCTGGTATAAAATCTTCTTTCACTTGTTAAACAAAAAAAACCCCTTAATTTAACTAATTAATTTAACTTTATTGGAAATATACTTCAATTTATATTATCTATATTATCTTTATATATAACCTTTATTTAAATATACAATTAAAAATACCTATACTTGAATTATAAGAGAGGCTGGAGGAAAAACATTTTTTTATATGCTGCTGTTTTGTGAAGGCACTGAAGAGGCATTTAACAAAAAACTCTGAACGGTTAACAAGGTATAGATTTTTAAATGTTTAAAAACTAGAGAGAAAAAAGGGCACTCCCTTTTTCTCCCTCAGGAGCCTTGCTTTAACGATGATATGCATGTTAATTCACCTTAGAGAGAGATCTGATACCATACTGAGACAAAAACTCATCTTCATCAAGTAGGTACGCCAACACCTTCTTCAACTTCTTTTTGTTTGGTATTCCCAGAAGGTGTCTTCCTGAAACTTCGCCATCTGCAGTCATGTAAGAAATCTACAAAAAGTACATTGAACAGGAACGAAGAACATATTTATGTTAATTTATACTTTCTTTATACTGCTTTATACCGCAGACACTTTCAGTACTCATGTTCAACATAAATACATTAAGAGAGAAAGGAAGTTAAACACCAAAAAATACAATTCATATACAAAAATATTTCCGCATCTTTGAATTTAGTTTTTGATTTGAGAAATCTGATTATTTGATGAACACAGGAATGTCTTAAACTATTCATAACAATGTTTAGACAAACCAATTTTTGAGTTAACAACTGCACGATTGCACACAACTACACAAAAAAGGATTACGATATGTGAGGTCTCACCACGAAATGAGACGCCTCTTTGGTGAAATCATACTGAGATATTCACCAAAATAGGTCAAAGGCAACATTTTTACAAAATTTTGATTTTAATGTTTTTGAATAATTTGATACTTATATTTTATGATTGTGTACTTTTTAAGTGAATTTTTAATACTAAAACAGTGTTCTCTTCGCAAATTCTGTAATTCTAGTCCTATTATTTGTACAGGTTAGTTTATATTTGAGGCCATTTTCTCAAAACCTGGTTCTCATACACCTAAACTTTAAATGCTAACATCTCTGGATCTATTTATCCTAGGGATGCCATTCAAAGACCAAACAAAAATATTTCCGCATCTTTGAATTTAGTTTTTGATTTGAGAAATCTGATTATTTGATGAACACAGGAATGTCTTAAACTATTCATAACAATGTTTAGACAAACCAATTTTTGAGTTAACAACTGCACGATTGCACACAACTACACAAAAAAGGATTACGATATTATTTTCCAACATATATGTGATGGAAGAATGGATTTGGTACATTATTGTATCATACAAATCAAAAAAGTTTCTGTACGATGAAGGTAAAAATGAATTGAGGGCGCTCTACCTGAGAAGACAAGTCTGTTCTGTATTTCATAAACCATTCCAGTCGTTTCTTAAATCCTGGCATCTTGTCTGTGACCGACTCTTCTAGCGTCAGGGATGCAAACAGCGGCACCAAGCCGACCATCGACCTGATACGCATTGGCGCTGTACAATTATCAGTGCGTAGGACATCATAGTAGAACCCATCCTCATCGTCCCAAAGACCTACGCATTGAAGATTGAATAAAGATAATGGCGTGAAGAATCGCATAGACTAATCTCCATTCCTCAAAACCTTAATGTTTGGATAACTTGTTAACAGAGTTTGCCCTCCAATTCAAGACTACCTTTGGGACCTGAAAATTTGGGGTAGTATCGGGGTTGGTCTCCAATTAGAGGGCTAGCTTTGTGTTAAAAGGTTGAAGATTGTCATTTGGGTCTTTGGAAAAGTGGTCTCAAATTAGAGGGGTCTTGGAATTAGAGGGCCAATCAAGCCTACAACTGAACAATCACAAAAGGTTTTTTTAATTTTTATTTTATTCAACTTCGACAGGTAAAAACAGGACAGGTGAACAAGCACCTCTACAGAGCCGTCTTACCACCGGAATGAGATAAATGAAACAACAAAAATAAATAGAATTTGCATGAGAATAAATATATGTCCAATTTACAATAGACAAAAAAATTCATAGTCTAACAACAACCAGAACAGTGACAAAAAGAAACCAAAGTGCAGATATTATCAGGAAAAAAAATTATATTTCAATTTAGAGTTGTAAAATTCAATCACTTTGTTTTTGAAAGATGGAAAATGAGAATCTGATCGAATTGCTAAAGGAATTAGATGGGTCTGTAATTGAAGGGTGCACTGTATTGAATTTCTGGAACAGAGTGTCAAAAGTTTCGGAACTCTGACATATAAAAACCGGAACTTTTTACAAATCTGCAGTTGACACTTTCCAACCTGGAAATTTCCAAATCAAAATATCTTGGTTGCAAAATGCACAGCTTGTGAAATGTCAATAGCAGAGCTTCATAAGTACGATCCTTGAAAGGTCATGTACGGCGTGTTTGATACATAAATTAGGGAGCATTTGATTTACGCGACGACGTGTCACCAAAATGGATTCACTCACAACGTTCACTGCACAATGCAGATTTGGTTAAAAGTGCATCCTAGAAATCCATGCAATGAAGATTCTTGCATGCACAAATGACTTCATGAGCCGGGCAGTCACTAGGTCATATGGCAGTCGTACAACCATCGTAAAGCCAATCCAACTCCGTTTCCTGTGAGCACTAGACGACGCGACGCCGTCTGGTAATTGTCAATGGCAGTCCGAACAGATCGTCATTAAAAACAATCCGTTGGGTGCGCGTCATGGCATTGCATTCTCTATAGAATTGCGTTGGCCGCCTTTAGTGACGTCATTATATTCTACGTTCCACTGCGTCATGTAAAAGTTCCCTATTATGTACAATAGAAACCACTATTATTTTTACAGTTCATTAAAGATAGTAAACGTTACCTCCACCTCCAGCCATCTGATTCATAGCATCAACAATTGAGACAAAGTGTTCAAAGAATTTGCTGGCCATGTCCTCGTAGCTTGGGTCAGTCCGTGCAAGCTCCAGCGAGATGTCAAGCATGACCACGCAGAAGAAAGCCACCCAGGCAGTGCCATCCGCCTGTTAGAAAAAACAACCAATCAGGAACAATTAGCTAAGCATTGATTCAAACAATAATACGAAATTGTACAAAAATGCATATGCATAATAAAAATTACTATTTTTTTAAATTATCGTTATTGTTTTGATATGTCATTAAACCGAATTGACCAATGTAGGCCAAACAAATATAATTTTGGTGGTTTATTTGCATATTTAGAAAAGCTACTGTATTTCATTTAAACATCAATGTTTATTGTAGATAGCTTACCAGAGCATACTTTTCAGTGTTGATGAACATAAAACATTATATTCAAAAGAATATAAATTGACGTAACAATTACTGGTACTCACTTACAACATTGATTAAATGGAGCATGTGTTATGGCTACAGTAAGCTACTTGACTTTTGATAGCTTCAGTATCTATCATTGTCAGACCAGAGCTGTTACAATACGCCAACTTAGTGTTTTACCATGGTAACATGTTCTAATTGTACTCTGATGTTACCACGGCAATCTGGTGCCACATGATTATATTAACTGATTAGATTATTGGTTAGATGACCCACAGTACCTGTTCCAGACTTCCTCCTGTGGGCAAAGGTCGTGAACGATCGAACACGCCAATATTATCCAGACCAAGGAAACCACCGGAAAAGATGTTCTTTCCATCTGGATCTTTTCTGTTCACCCACCTAGAAAATAACAAAATAACCAATGTCACAAAATTTACTTTAAAAAATTTAAAAATTAGGTCAAGAGCATGAAAGCAACAACTGAGAAAATGGGAATTTTTGACTGTTCAACTCATATGCTTATGCAAAAAATTACATGTAATAGAAGTTTACACCAGCAAGCTATTTCTCTCAGTAAAGCTTGTGGTAGCCATTTGTTATTAGGAAAGGCATTTTTTTTTTTTCATTTAAACATATTTGTGCTCGTTCGCAATTTAGATTTATCGTTGATTTAATCCATAATGGTACGTAGAGGGAAATCCTAGGCCTGTAAAAGTCCTCCAGAGGTAGTTGCCAGGTTATCAGAAATGTTTATTTCAAATTTCGCAAAAATGGTCTATAACTCGCTCTCTTCCCAGCTAACTATATTACGTTTGGTGATAAGAACATTTGGTGAACGTTACTTTTTAGAACCATATATGTACTTATTACTGAATTTCACAACATCGTAAAGTTTGAACGTTCTTACAACATTGTGTGAAAGTTATTTTGTAACATTTACAAACGTTATAAGAACATTTTGTGTTTGCTGGGTTATTAGTGAGCTTGACTAATGCCTTTTGTGGAATATCCCATCCTGCAAGCTGGTTTAAAACTGTTATTTGAGAATTACAGAAAGAAAAAAAACTGATCAGTTGTTTATATAAGCCATTTACAAAATACAATAAAGTATCTTTACCATGTAAAATTGAGCAGTAATTTCTGGAAACATCTGGCTAAGAATACCCTGTCGCGTTCCCCTCGTTCTCCCGTCATCTTGAATACACGGAATACAGCCCACGCATGCACAGGTGGATTGACATCACCAAAGGCAAATTCATATGCAGGCATCTGAAGAAAGGATGTGAAAAAAATTACAAAATGTTGCTTGTCTTACAATGTCACAGCCAGCTGGATTCAATCCTATATCTTTGTCCAGGCTTATCAAATCTCATGGGCTTTCACATGATGCAATATGCCAGCTTTCTGCACTGGCTAAACAAGAGCATTTAATTTACAATACATTATACAAAATTCATATACAAAATTATAATGGCGCTCTTATGTACACCTTGTAAAATAAATTTGTCGTTTGCGGTTACCACAATAATTTTTATTTTTTTTATTTTAAAGCCAGGTTGTAGAGGAAAATTTTTTTTATATATATTGTACAACTGAGTAAAGAAACAAAGAGTATATCTGATGAAAAACTCAAAGCGGTTATAAATGAGATACAGATTTTTGAATAACTATATACTAGGGGGAAAAGGTGGAAAAAAGGGGGGTAATGCCCCTTTTCCCAAATTTTTAAATATTTAAAAATCTGTACCTTATTAACCATTCCTAGTGAGAGCAAGTGTCCACTGCTTGATACAGAGTTTTGTGGAGTGGGGGGAGGGGGAGATGGTACATTTAATTCACAAGTTGGAGGCAGTAGGCCTAATTACATATAATATATTTGTATTTTTTTTTTTAGCACAGGCCTAACTCACCGTAACCCACTCTAAATGAGTGGTGAAAGAGGCTGGTAGGCCTGATGTGGCCCTCTATTAGCCCCTCTAGACTTTGACTTAAAATGGTTTATAGAGTCAGCTACAACTGTACTGGCAGGGAGAGCGTTCCAAGCATTAACAAATCTTTGAATAAAAAAGTGCTTACAGCATGCCTAGGCATGGTTTCATTTTTGTAGGCTTACTAAACAGAGCCAGCTGCATGACTCTTCAAACAACACTAAATCAGTTAGCTTATGATGCAATATGCCTGGTATCATATCATCATACCATCTATTTCACCAGTAAAAACAATTTTAAAAAATATGGCTGACTGGCCGGATTGCCCAAAAGCAACACAAAGTAACTGTCACAGGTCTCTCCTGGCAGCACATACAGTACAATAATACATAAAACATTCAAGTATAAAAATAGATAACTATATACTGTATTAAACCGTCCCTTTTAAAAATATCATTTTTTTAAATGTAAAACTTACAAAAGCTAAGAACAATTTACAGCGCATAAATACATAAAAACACTTTATAAAATATCCCATCATTCCTCTAAACGGATTTATTCTTACAAGTAAGAGTGAGTAAGTGTCTACTTGCCTGAAAGTGGGCAATAGACACAAAAAAAAAACTTAAAATGCCAAAAGTTAATTAACTAATGAATATTCTTTACCTGACCGTTTGGTGCCATATACCACTCTCGCAGGAACATGAGTAGCTGTTGCTTTGCAAAATCCGGATCAACTCGTGCAAACGGAATCATGTGGAAAGCCAAATCCCACGAGGCATACTAATGGAATAGATTAAACTGTTAATACTTACAATATCATCACTATATAATTATAGCATATCAATTCAAAAAGGAAATATACATATATAATTAATGTGCAAGCAAAATATAAAGTACTGTACTCACCCACGGATATTCCCATTTATCTGGCATAGACACAATATCTCGGTTGAAAAGATGTTTCCATTCGATATTTCTGCCATAGTGACGACTTTCCGGAGGTGGCGGTTGGTCCTTATCTCCTTGCAACCAATCTTTCACAATGTAGTGGTAGAACTGTTTACTCCACAGTAGACTAGCATAAGCCTGCCGAGCAACCCTGGTTTTTTCTGGATCACATGATGGAATCACCTATAATAAAATTTATTATAATTCTCAGATTTTGACAATATAGTCCTCCCAGAAATGTGTACTGGAACAGACAGCGCCTGTGGTGGACGACAAGAGTTGCTGGTACCGGGTTACTGGGTAGCACAGACACGAAGGGACCCATAGGGGTGAAGAAAGTCGTTGATCGAGTTCCTAGTCCACATATCAAGCGCCCTGAGCATCTTATGTTAGATGGATTTGGCGCTATATAAAACTACACTGTTACATATGGTAATGATGACCATATATAAACACTATTATTATTACATATGGTAATTATGACCATATATATACACTATTATTATTACATATGGTAATGATGACCATATATAAACACTATTATTATTACATATGGTAATGATAACCATATATAGACACTATTATTATTACATATGGTAATGATGACCATATATAGACACTATTATTATTACATATGGTAATGATAACCATATATAGGCACATTATGACTATATATGTGCATAGAACAGTTCTTTGAAAGACAACAATTTGAAAGTGTTGACAGAGTTTTATACTTACTGTTGCATAGAATGCATCTGCTTCTTTGATCCTATCAGCAAAAACTTGATCAAATACATCACCAAAATAAGACTCGCCTGGATCCTCATCTTTGCTGAACAGTCGCACTTTGACTGTACGTTCTTCACCTCCTGGTACCTCTAATACATATATAGGGGCACATTTTGTCCCCCTTTGTCTTGCATCAACTGCCCCAACTTCACCTGTAGGAACCAAAATAAATGGTAACAAAATCTCAGCAGATAATACATCTTAAGATATCTAAACTCGACTAGAATCAGAGTATTTAAACTTCTGAGAAAGAAGCATAGTCTCCACATTTTTTGTTTCTTTGTATAATTTTTATAATGGATATTTTGAAATAAATCAAATCAAAAATATAATCCATGAGAAAATGTTTGCCTAATTGTATAATGTACTAATTAAAAAATTTATGGTATATCTGAAAAAAAAAAACCTTTTTATTTAAATACTCCAGTCAATCAGCATTCAATATCCAAACCATAATATTTATTTTTAAACTTATCTGTTAAACTACTGTATATACCTTCAATGATGTATCTGTGAAATGCATCACGGAAGAACTTTGTGTAGTGCTCAACGTCGTAGAGCTTTTCCATGTTTGTCTCATTTTCAGTGAAATGAATATCTACATTCTTGCCATCAGGTCCCACATCACACACATAGTAGAATTTGTCTGATGAAAACAGAATGACAAAGACGGTTAAAATCTTGCTTCTTTACATGAATGATCACATATAATAACAGTTGATATTAAAATAACAAACCAGTACAAAGGTTAAGCAATATGTAAAATAAGATGATTTCACTTTGTATCTGCTAGTAAACAAGGGTGGGCATTTCCCTCAGGGTACTAAAATATCATCTTTGAAACAGTTCTCTCCTCAATACTGGTAATGGTACATAAACAATGATGACTAGATTGGATTTAGTCGCAAGCCTCAGAAATGAGACCTTTCAAGATTATTGTAGTGAAGAAATCTGCAACCAAGCGGGGGTAATTCTATCCAAAATATAATTAAGGCAGCATAGCTGAGATGGCTTTGTCATCTAGATGGAATGAAAGAAGAAAAGTGACAGGATGATGTTAAATGCCAAGTAAACTTCCCAAAGGCAGACTAGAATAATGTGGTAATACAGCACAGGACATAGTGCGTAAGAATAACCTGCACAACAGGAACAGAGGAACAAAGAGAAGATGTAAGACAGAGGAAAGTGGAGAAGGAGGCTATCGTTCACTAACAGGCAAAAGTGAACTTTAGACTTTCATAGGCGTAGGCTGGGAGGTGCCCACATACCTTTCCCTCTCCCATGCTGGCAAATTATTCCCAGTAAGTGAGTTATAATACTAAAAATGTCCATTAAGTTTTCATTGGTAGAGATTTAGTTTCCCATTCTCAATTTTTACACTCCCCACCCCCTGCCGAAACCAGGCGACGATCTCTTAAAGTAAAAATTAAACCTACCAAGGCTCTCATGAGAACAGAGAACCTTTCCGTCTTTTTGCATCGACATCTTTGGTTTCATTGTGCATCCTTCGTGAGAGCAACCCCAGATCCATGTGTTGCGATACCAAAGCTGAGGGAGTACGTGGATGGTGGCCGTATCAGGCCCACGATTGGCCACTGTGATACGACATAATATATCGTTTGGTCCGTTCTTGGCGTACTCCGTGAAAACATCCCAGTACCTTTTCTCATCAAACACACCTAATAAGAAAGCACACATTTTCGTAAGCGAAATTGTGTAAACAATTTTTACACAAACAAAACAGGCATTAAAATTTAACCCTTGATATTCCTCTGAAAAAATTTAAAGCACATAATATTTTTATTTATAAATCTGAAAAAATTAATTAAAATAAATTGAAATTAAAATAATTTTATATTAATTACTATTTTAGTGAAACTTAAAATTAATACAGCGTATTAATAACAGATTGTATGTTCCACCATTTTGCTTGGAATACAATTTTTTTTTTTAAAGTAATGATCATTTGATTATATTTTCAATTCCACTAATTGAAAAGTAAGCATTAAAAAGAATTGTTCAGCCTTTAAAAATTCAAATTAAATATATAAGCTTCACAAAAAATATCTTTAATTCATTTGTAACATTTTATATTATTCATCCCTCCAAAACAATCATTTTCCTCCATACATCTTGTCATTTATGTGATTCATTATGGAGTACACATACCTGTATCTTCTAATTCAAGCTCTGGTTTGCTGATACCACGGCTGGCGTTCTCATTCACCAACCGTGAGTAAGGGTAGGCCTCCTGCGGGTACTTATAAAGTATCTTCATATAGGAGTGAGATGGGGTTGAATCAAGATAATAGTAACACTCCTTGCAATCCTCACCGTGGTTACCCTGTGGGCCTATAAGGCCAAGTAAAAAAAAAAGTAGTTTCTTGTCCTAATGTATTAAAAAAAAGGAAAATAAGGGCACTTTGCCAAGATGGCAAATCCAAGATGATCGATGGGAAGCAGCTACTACTTTATCACTTTTACGAAGTAGGCACATTGAAAGCAAATAAAAGAAGACATGATTCTTTCATACCATACAGTATGTATTCCCAACCACGATCGAGAGAGGAATTTTACTGACGCGAGTTAGCCAGATTTTCGTACATTTCGTAAAATAAAGGAAATTAAAAAAAATGTTTGGTGAGGCAGACAAAATGGATGCATGAGGAGATGAGAAACTAGTAAAATTTTTTATTTGGCCATCAAAATGGAAATAATGAAATTAAGCCTTAATTTGATTGCAATAATGTCATATGACTTGCAAGACTACAATATAGAAAAGCACATCAACCTGAGGTCTGGACATCTAGAGGCAATTCCAGGATTTAGAAAAGGGAAATGCTGAATAGAATATTGCATCCTCTGAACTTTATGCAGAATGTATAAAACTAGGGACGGAGCATGTCGATGGCTATGACTAAAACCATAAATTGGTTGTTAACGTCAAAAGTAAATTAAACATACTTTGCCATTTATTTTCATTAATTTACTATTATTTTTTCATGTCTTAATAAAAAAGGAGTTCTTTCTGGCACCAGGAGCACCCTTGGTTACACCACTGGTGTGATAATTCCTGTTTATTATTTATCATCTATACTTTAGGTGGTATAATATAAATGGCAGTATAAAAAATGTTCACATGAACTTCCTTTAAAATTGGGTCCAATAAATTATGGGTCTGAAGTGTCTTGTCAACAATAGGAAACAGTCTAATAGATATAAGTACAGTATGTATCAAAACATCAGCAGCAAGTATCACTTTCTATTCATATATGTATTTCCCTGTGAGGTCTCTCTGCAGATATCATTCTCCTGATGACGACGAGGTAACTCAATCGAGATATTCTCAACAAACATCTTTTCAGAACTATATCTATGTGGTGTAGCGCAAGCATTTATTACTTCGCCATGCAAACCTTCAAACAATTAATTTACTCCCCCAAACGAAAAAATATAGACCCTCCATGTGTTGTGTGATTATACATTGTAAAATGAGGCAAAAATGTTCACCCCTATGAAAAAAAAAAAACCCCTGGTCAGAATACCAACTTACCAGTCAGGCCAAAGAGACGTTCTTTCAGAATCGAGTCCTTCCCATTCCAGAGGGCGACACAAAAGCAAAGGCGGCATTCTCTGTCAGTGATACCCATCAGTCCATCTTCACCCCATCTGTAAACTCTGGAACGGGCATCGTCATGCGGGAAATAATCCCAACTGAAAAAGGAAGAATATTATTAATAATCATAATTATTTTTAATAAACTATAAAATCATATATTTATTTATCTAATTTCACTTGACATAAATATGAAAGGAATTAATAAAGAGCAAATATCAACAAAATAGTGAACATAGAGTAGCAAAAAAACTGATAATTTCAAAGGATGAAATACACTATCGCATTCCATTAAGATACCAGATAAACACAATTATTTTTCACTAATCCCCGACCCTTAACTAAGAATATCCTTAAATTAATTTCCAGTCAATTTATGAGTTTATATTCAAAACGAGATATGGTACTTTATTTAATAATAGGCCCATATATAGCAATACCATAAATAATATTATAAAACAATATATATAAATTATTAGTAAAAGGAATACAAAATTTGTGTGTCCGGGAATGCGCTAGAGTCATGTCGGTTGATGACCTCTTTGAGATTCTGCATTTTTTGTGCTAATAATTTTTTTCCCCTATGTGCAAGCTTTCATTGCATTTATGATATATCTCATTTATTAATTACTGATAAATGTTTTTTAGCACAAACCAGGCAGTACATCCGTAAGTCCATGGTTTTAGCTTTTTGTTGGGAGGGGCATCATGGGAGGGGTATCATGGGAGGGGTAAATAGGTTTTTTTTTGTACAAGCATATCTAGATTCAGATTCACTTCATTGATACATATCCTCACAGAGATTTGTTTTCTTTCAGTAGTTTGTGATTGCCTTAACATTGGTTTGCAAGACTAATTCCCTGCAGCTATTGCAATCGAGCTAATGCTTAATGGCTCTCTGTTGATTTAGTAATAATTTATTCCTGGACTGTTGGTGCAGGCGATCATGAATAAATTATTTACGAGAGTATAATATTGTACCCAGCAGATATTAGTTAAACACATTTCTAATGTTTGCATTAAGTTTTTTATTTTCCAAATTTGTATTTAAAAATCTTGGTATAGTTACTTGAACTGCAGCACTAAAAAAGTATTTAAAAAATTGAGTAGGAGCTTTGGTCTTTAAACTCGGTAGAAGGCGAAGAAATCTTTTAATATTTCAATAGGAAGATGAAGTTCTAAGTCAAGAGTGTAATAGTGACATGCTGGGGAGGGGGATGGAACATTTCTAGTGGGAGCAATGTCTGAAGTGAAAATGTTTTCTGGGTGATGCACCACCCCCACCCCCCCCCCAGTCCAATAATACACTGCTGCCTGAATATAAAATTACAAATCGATTTTTGTAATCTACTGTAACAAATCACTTTAAAAAAAAAAAAAGTGGCATATATTGAGCAGAAAGTGATAAACAAAAATCATATTAGGGGCCACTTTATTTGTTGTAGCATTTAGGTTTGGTTGTTTTCATGATTTTATTTATGTAGTACTACTATTTTGCAAGTTATTATAATGACAAAGTATTTTCTTGGATATGAAAGCAGCTTGCGGCTTTCAAGGCCTAAGTTTACTTGTTGTTTTTGACAAGCTTCCGTGCATTAAAGTTATCATGGGGACAATATGAATGAAACTCCTCGAGGTTGAATGATAGAACCATTACCTAAAAGAAATTTATAATGCCTTTGTTTGTCACAGACTACTATACCCAAAATGAATCACAGTACTTTGTATTTGGGCCATCCTACTTCCTTGTTATTTAACAAAAAAATAATCTTTTTTGCTTTGTCATCATGTAACAGGCTGGTCAAGTTGTCCTTGATAGATTAAATTCATTTTCAGATTCATTATGGTTGCTGTACACTGATGGTATCAATTCAATATAGACCAGGCCTAAAATCAAACGACAAGAAATGCCACACCCACCTCCGCCCCTCTCTCCCCGTTGACCGGGCCTTCCCATGTATTTTTAACTCCTTCCGCCTTGGCCTACGTATTTGCACTTTCGATGAAAGGCAATTTTATTATAAGTTCGACACCTGCAAAATTACTAGAAAGGAGTCACCTTTCCCTGTAGTAGCAATAGGAGGCATAGCCTTGGCTCTTAGCCTAAGCTGGGTAGGGTAAGAATGTCATAATGTGCTAGGGAGAGAAAGGCTTATCATTTTATGCTCTCTCTCTCAACATGTCGCAAGCACCTGCTTAGCAAGTGCTCGAAGTAAGCAAAAACATACCACTGGCCATCGGCAGAATAGTCTTCTCGCACTGTCCCCCATTGTCGTTCGGATAGATACGGACCCCATCTTTTCCAATTTTTAATTCGTTTTTCTGACTCTGCCAGCCTCTGTTTCTCGCGGCATCCTGACATCTTTACAGGGAGAACTTGATTCAGGAAACAGCCTTGGCTTACCTGGTAGTCAGTGTTTTGTTTACAGAACTAATTTTTCGTTCCGAGATGAACGCCCTCTATAACAACACTTTGACACTGTGTTCGTGTATTACCAAGTCTACCTACTACTGCATTCATGGCCCATATACAATAAAATAAATATCTTTAAACACTTTTATCTATTTAGTCTAATCCTAATTCATAATACATTATCATTATCATCATTGTCATCGTTGTTGTCATCAACGCCGTTTTAGTCATCACCTCATCATTCATTATGCTGCTGTTTATCCACGGTGTCTAATCAGCTATATAATCAAATCGTCATCAATCATCATTAGGCCAATAAATTGTCTTCGCCGTCGTGGTCATCAATAGTCATCATTAACAATCAGGTGGCGCCAGAAATTGCCCGAAGAAGGGGGCAGGGGGCGGGGTGATGTCACCGACGAAATAAAAATTGGGCGTGGTCGGGCGTCGCTAAAAATCTCTAGAAAGTGTTCTAGGGGTCTAACATCATTCTGAGGGAAAGTTAGAGCAGTAGTTATGGATTTCACTTTGATGCGAGACCTATATCGTACTCGTGTACACTTCTTTAACTACCTCGTCCTTCGGATGGATAGCCGTTGGTCATGTGTATATTATATATGCCTAATAGCACTTACGTATACACTATTCGAAGAGTAGGGAACTGACTGCGGGTATACTGACCATTACCAAGGCGAGTCATACGGACCCAGAAGTCCTTGTTGATTTTCCTTGACTAAGGGCCATATTATATTATACAATAACATTTTCATTAACATTTACGTCATCTAGTCATATTATGTATTTATGACATTCCCGTTCAGTAGACGAGTGAAGATAATATCTTCTCTCATGTGTCGTCCGGCTACCTTCCTCTCAAAAAACAGCTCTATTTAAACACAGCCTTTCCAACATTTTTCAAAATATTCTATACAAAAAATGTACTAAACACATTGTTACATTAAATGAATCTCGTAATAAAAAGTGACCAATTTTATATACACCTGTGTTTCTCGAGCGGAAACGACAACGATCACATTAATTATCAAGCAGTATTATGCTTTCAAGTTTCACTGAGCTGCACACTGAAAGCGTCAGTTTTGTTTAACGAATACCATATGTCAGGTAATTATGAAATTCGGTAGATGATAATTATGCACATATCAGTACTTTACACAGAAATATGAAATGCGATCGAAGCTAAAACTATTTCAATGTTGTGGCAATCCCATAAGAGGAAAACTCCACTTCATAATCACGAAAATATCATTTATATTCGTGTAAGTTCGTTTGAAATGTAAAACTTGTCTTGGATTGAATGAAAATTACTGCGATTTATTTCGAGTTCTATTTGTAAGAGACGATTCGAAAAGGGGCTTTCGATTTATTACCGATAGCCTAAATTGCACATAATTGTGTCAGCATTTCCTGATTTTTCTGTTATAGGATAAAATTACATTTTTCTAGCACACTCCTCTAATCCCGATAGCATTGGTTAAATAAGGAATTATGCCCATTGTGGCTACGTCACGGTCAAACATAGGCTAATAATTAAAAAATTGATATTGATGATGATAATGATGACGATAACGATGATGATGATGTTACCTTAATAAGGGTTCTACTGTATTAAGATAAAAAAAAAAAAACAAACAAACAAACAAAAACAAAAATAAAAACATAAACAAAAAACTGACCTGACCTTTCGAATAAACCATACATAGTAAGGCAGTAAACACGTCACTTAGCAAACACATTCATTTAATTTTAAATCCTTTCGGTACCTTTCACTTTGCTGGGATTAAGGAAACTTTCTAGAAGCAGCAGGATGGATAGTCGCTCGCGGCGGCTATCGGCGCTCTATTAGCCGTATTATATTATTAGTTAGTTATTATTATTATTAATTTTATTACATATTATTTTATTTTGTATCATTTTTGTAATTTAGACTTAGGCCTAGCGAGGTATCACATGTACATTTATCTAGGGCTTATGTCATTTATTCGCTCCAGTTTTGAAAAAAAAGTTATCAAATATCAATTATTTTTACGGCTATCAAATATCGACTCTGTTAAAGTTATTCAAAATTGGTTATGCCAAGTTATCCAATATCGATTACGTTATGTTTATTCGATATTTATTACATGCAATGTACCCTGATGCATGCTTTTAGAATAACTGAACGGTGGCGATGTATGACGCAGGGAGTCACGTGATTCTGGCGAACATCTTGGCGTAATTTCTATCAGTTTGAGAGGAGCGTCAGTGACGGACGATTAGAAGCCGATGCGGCTACTGATTAATGTGGTCATATGAATAACACTAATGTACTGGACCTATCTAAACCACCGTAGTGTTTAAAATACGAGGTAAGCATAACTCCTCTTTCGTATTTAATGCTTTGAATAAACCTTAATTTTGCTTTCATTGGACATACGTTTTCATTTGTTTTCAGGAGGGTTTTTTTTTTAGTTTAATTGCGTTTATTTTATTGCTTCATTCTTTATTTGTTATATTATAGTCGTTAAACATCATCATTTTATAACGATTTACATTTATCTTTAAAGAATAATGATACTACTGCTGCTTCTAATCCTACTACAAAGATATTTTTATCATTTACAGGGCCTATACGGTACTGTATTAGTTTCATCTTATTTTGTATCTCCAGTTTATATGTTAATTACGGAGATTTACGGTATATATTATTATCATCATTCATTAACATCGTCACCACCGTCATTATCATAATCATTACCATTATTATCATTATCTTTATTATTATTATTATTATTATTAGTTATTTTATTATTATTATTATTATTAGTTATTTTATTATTATTATTATTATTATTATTATTATTATTATTATTATTATTATTATTATTATTATTATTATTATTATTATTATTACAGGTGTCCTTCCAATTGAAGACCTCTCCAATTAAAGACACCTCCAACTAAAGACCACATTTCCGTGGCCCGGTTGAATGCCTCTTTTATCATTAGTTATTTCATCCAATTAAAAGTTACCTCTATTTAAAGACCAAAGACCATGGATTTGGAAGAAACCTAACTGAAAATTTCCCTCCAATTAAATACCACTATAAAATAAATAGTAATGTTAATGCAAATGTTTCTATAATAAATTATGATATATGACTTACACAAAGCCAATGTACGAAATAGAAATCAGCTTAAATTCGTCTAAAGTCCATTTTTTGCTTAAATCCGATTTATCAATATGGCTTAGCTTTAAAATTCTTAAAATTAAAAAATTGTACGCATGCGCCACCGAATACGACTTTTACATTAAGATTTTGCTAATATGGTTTGATAAATCATCTTAAGATATTTGCTTAGGGACATCTTATGTTTATAGACTTAAAGACGTTCGCTAAGCTGAGATGGATCCCGGGCCTGGAGTACCAAGTCTCCAGCAGAGTCCGGGAATAGAGTCTCCTGGAAATCTGCGGGAAAGCCTCTCACGAGCAACAAGAAATCATCTCCCGCAAATTCATGATGATCTTTGCATGCTTATACAAGATTTTACTATTGCATTATGAATTGTCTCCCTCTATTTAGTGCAATCATAATGGTTATCACACCATGCACAGCAAAAAATATATTTAGATGCCTTAAGAAAACTCATTTAAACAGATTTCCCAGATTGTAGAAACATATTGTATAATTCTTTAATAAATACATTAAAATATATAGTGATTTTGATGTAGTTTTTAAAAATATATGATAGATATACAGTACATCAACATAATACATAACATAAGATGATGTTTTGTGTATAGTGCTATATATTATTAGTAGGACAGTATTGTTAGTAATATTGTAATGGTGATTTGGAAGGAGTTGATGTGTGACTACCAGGAAATCGTTAAGAATCAATAACAGCATACAGTAACTGTACATCCACTCTAAAAAATATTTTGAATACTAGAAATTGCAAATTGCAAGTGAAGTGCTGCGAAGTACAACTGCATATAAATGTTCTTCGAACAAAATTATTTATGCGAGTCAAGTGAAAATAATGAATAATAAAAATATAACAAACAATATGAGACACGACCCATTGTCTATTAGAACACTTCTCATTGGGTAACAAAGTTGTAATTTTTCATTTTTGTCAAAAAGTGTCTATAGTGGTGAATTATGGTTTAGGTTTTTTTTTAATAAAGTTTCAAAAATATCTATGTATGTGGAAAATGTAGTTGATTACCAAAGATTACAATTTTTATTTTGAAGACTGCATGGTCTAGGAAGTGTACATTTTTTATGGGGCAAGTTTCCAAGGGCTGGTTTTCTATGGGCGAGTTGACTGCCAAAGAGTGTTGCCAAAGTGCGAGCCAGCGTGTTATTTGATCAAAAGTGCGAGACATTGCAAGTGTGAGCCAGTGAGCCATGACGTCACGACAATAGATTCGAGACGTTACTATTTTTTTTAAAGGTCTAATAATGAATTATTGTGATGTTAAATAGTCAATGTTAGCTATCAAGGAGCGACGTTGTTTTTCTTTGGGACCGTTCATCCCTTCAAGGCTAGGCCTATACCATCCTAGCTAGTTTAGGCCTAGAGTAGGATAAGGCTAGCGCGACATGCGGACGTTGGTACGTGTTGGTTAGTCTACAAACGTCGCCTAAAGTAATTGATTTTAGCCGGCAGAACGAAAGAAGGAAACTCCGCTTTTCAGTCGTCTTAGGCCGTTGATTTTTGACAAACAATGAACTTCAGAGGTCAAACTGCTGTCAAGAATATGAATTGGCTGCTTCGCAGCAAAAACAATCTTACATATTTTATTATATCGCTTCTTGATTTTCCTCTAAATGGTGATATTTATAGACCACTTTTAGAGGGATTCTAATTAGAAACCAAAGCTGCTAAAGACCACTAAAATCCCGGAAACAAAAATGGTCTTCAATCGGAGGGAGACCTGTATTTATTTTAGTTACAATAGTTAAGGAATAACATGACGAATAGAAACTCCTGAGGAATAATATCATTGATTTTATTTTGTTATACGGAATGTGGTTTCATCTTCCGAAGAGAGGCCTAAGGAATGATTTTTAAGAACTGTAGAAAGGTGATAAAATCACTCCTTCTTCAGCATGTTGTTAGGTGGGTGCTTAGGAACCTCAAGCTTTTAATGGGTCCCCACACCCACTCCCCTCGCCGTGGATACGCTACTGATACGTAACCATCGTGATACCTGCGCACCCGCGCATGTTATTGTCTTTTCGGTAATTATGAGCTTTCGGTGACGACGAGCTTTCGTCGCCAAAACCGCATCAATGCATTCAAGAAATCAATTCACCATTAGTTCTAAATTGAGCATGACCACCGTCATTGCCATAAAGTTGGTCATCTCTAAAATTTCACCCTCTTTAACAATTAGTGCCATTAATAGCATTCTCATAATCCTCTCTATCGCCATACCATCTTCACCACCATTACCGTCGGTGCCTATATTATTCTTGTCGCTATCTCTCATTATTCTGTCTTTTTTATAACTCTAATTTCGTCTTGCCATTGTTATAAATGAAATAGGGTAGCTTATTTTCAATCGCACTGACAATCCTCATAATGATGATTAAGCCCAGTGAATTTTAAATGAACCCAATTCAACATACAACATCAATTTATTTCCAACGTACATAACTAGGTTCACTTAACATCTAGGTTACATCTGCTTACGAAAGGAGGTAAAGAAAATGCTACAATATAAAAACCTAATTAGAATACTGCACTATGTAAATATACAAAATTCATGAGAAACTTTAGTAGTATGTATACGATGTGGATATTAGGATATATTATGTAGATACAGTAGAATCCCTTCTTTGGGACACCCCTAGTATTTAGGGGGTACCGTACCTTTTGACCGAAAATTGGGGGAAAGTATATCCTTCAACACAAGGTCAACCCCTATTCCAAGGGCAATCCTCTTAAGGGGACACTTTTTGGTCCTGAATGTGTCCCCTTAATATTAATCAACAAGTAAGGACTGTTACGGTATTTTCTATCTGTGGCACCCGATGAAGTGTGATGATTTACCATTAAAAAGTTACGTATAATTAAAATATAAGTTATATAAACCTTAACCGCCGTCTCCGCTAAGAGAAAATGTCTCACTGTCCCCACCTTCAAATTGAAAACATGGCCAACGAACCTTTGTTTTTCTGCCTCATTTCTGTGCCATTTTGTCTGTCAAAAACTCACCCTCTTCGGATTCATTTAAACTCAATTTAAAAATTCATTTCAATTTATTTACTCTACTCTTTTCCCACATTCATATCCACATTGTCTTTTTACGTTTATATTTTATTACTGTACTTTACTCCTTTCATGCTCTATATATATATACTTTCGCTCTTTTGATCATATATTTTGATGCGATGATGCGATGACGATAATCATGATGATGCGATAATGATGATTATGATGATGTTGATTATGATTTTAATGATGATGATGATAGATTACAGTGTCACAAAACAAAACACTCTGTCTCAAAACACGCAGCTTGTAGGCATAATGCCGCATATTCTCGCGTATAAGGCAATCCGCATATAAAACGAGAAAATTTTTGGATGTCGACCACATAGGACGACACCCTCCCCAACAGTTACTGCTATTTTGGTCTCGATACTGCATCTAACTGGCTGGAACAGAGCCAAATGTAGGGCCAATCTTCCTAAAAACAACAATGGCTTTTAAATGTTCAACAAAATCCTATTTCCCAGATTTAAAATTGCGTTCATTCATGCTACAGTTAGTAGCTTCCTTTTCAGCAGTAAATTTACGTGTTACGGACGATCCGCTCGTACATAAGATAAACATGAATTTAAAAAGAAACATCTGTTTTGTAACGTGTATAAAATGACACCCTGTTTTTCGTGGCGTAACGGGTGCCAAGTTCAAATTTCCATACGAATCAATTTTACACCTATAGCCCTGTTGCATGAAATAATTACATTTTACAACTTTAGGATTTTTCATAGTTGAAATCAATTAATTCAATCAAAGTTTTCGATGCATACAAATATGGATTTTTTTTTATCTATCTTGAAAAAGCATTAGCTTAGCAGCTACCGCACACGCAACGACTTTGTCTGCTACAAACGCTATTGCGATGGAGAAATGACAAATTTGCATGTGTTGGCCTTCTCAGCTAATATCATATTTTCTATCGCCAGTGGATTGCGACACCTTGTCTTTTTCAATCGAAGTCGTATAAATGATGATACAGAACGCACGACATCTTGCCATTAACAAACTCATCATCACTGTTTGATGACTTCGTTCTGTACAACCTTATGTAGATTGAAAGTAATCCACTACAATCGAAGCAAATTTTGATTAATTGATGTTCAAAAAATCTACAAAAAGGCTCAAGGGTGAATATTATAATTACAAATCATGTATTTCAAGTGGCGGGCTTGAATAACATGATCGAGGCAAGAAAAAAAGTTCTGACATGAGTTTGGCAGCATCGCAGTTCCACACTAACTTATCTCTAACCAAAGAAGACAATGTCACTTTATTTCAACTCAAGATATCTGAAAAAAAATTATCGTGCAGTAAGAATTAATAAATAGCTTATGTGAGAATCGAACCAGCACCCTTCAGAGTATACGGTCTACCGTTTCGACTCACTTTACAATTAAACCGTCCTAATTGACCATGATCCTTTCTCCTAAATCAGTATTTTCTTTGCTCTGGAGTGGAACGGAACCCCTCCCAAACAGTGATGGCTACGGCTTGACGATATTTTTACAGTACAGTTAGACCATATTCTAAAGTCGATATCAAAAAAGATTTCAAATTACCATGATTAAGGATACCAAATACAAATACAAATAAATACTCTTTAATAGCAATCTGCAAATTACAAATGATAAATTACAAATTGAATTTTTAAAAAATAGAAATATAAAACAATATAGAAATATATATATAAAGATAAATATTATATAAAAATTATACCTAATTGTAAGTACATAATTATAATTGGAAATTCGGCAGCCGTGTTTCGACTTCATGTTGCCGATTCTACAACATAAGTAAGCCAATAAACTTTTCAATCCAAGTATACTGTATAGCATTTCATTAAGAGAAATAATAATCATCTTGGTATTAGTTCATGGATATAGAAGACCAAGAAAAGCTGGATCTATAATGGAGAGTATTACACTTATATAGGCGTACGCCTATAAATAGGCGCAATATATTTACTGTCTGGTGCACGAAAATTGTAAAAATTTACCAACAATGTGTGAAATTAAAAGATTTCATTTGCTGATTAATCACAAATTATATAGACCTATAATTATTTTCTAAATTGCATTGGCAATGCTGTCTTTTCTGCCTAAATACTCATTGATTTGGTTGCATGGGAGAGAAATTCTACCTCAAAACCCATTCGTTTAACCACCCTGTGACTGAAAAATATTGACGTGCAGCCCCGACCCAACTACCCCAATACTCCCTCGCCACCCCCCCCCAGACAGCTTCCACCCCACACCCGCCAACCAGGTTCCAGTGGTCGTTATGCTAGTGAATAACTACACTTCTTCATTCGCATTGTCTGCGGTTTCATCAGCATTCATGTTTTATTGAACTCAAGACCTTAGTTCATCTTATATGTGTAAATAAAAGAGCATCAGCGAATTATTAAGCGTTTCAATATAAACCTTAATGTCATAACATTACTGTACATGAACTGAAACCTTCCAAATGGGGAGCATGTTTGTTATACGTTTCTCTTTGTGTAAAACAGTGATTTATTTCTTAGGAGGGGAATATATAACCAAATCCATTTCCCCTTGTATCTATCGGCCATTGAATAACTCAGAATACGAATTCCAATTTACTAAATATTTTACAGCATAAATTTTGGTTAACAAAAAAAAAAAAAAAAAATATATATATATATATATATATATATAGGCCTATATATATACGATATATATATATATGTATTAAATATAATATATAATGATACGTACATGGGATATTGAACCTTTTGTAGTTTCAAATACATCACTAGGATGTATTACTATATAGTATATATTTATTATATATATGTATATATAAATATATAGGCCTATATATTATGATGAATATATATATATATAGGCCTATATAATGAATATATATAGGCCTATATGAATTTTGTTAACTCAGTATACTAGATGAAATACCGATAGTACATACTAGTACATGCTATTAGCGTGGCGCAGTGTTTTGTCTATGCATGCGTCATATGTCATAATGCATGCTATCCGTCATCCACTAGAATAATGATCATTAGTCTTCCTCGCATATCTACTCGGATGCAACTCCCGTGTCGCGCCGTGTCTTAATTTAATCACATAAGTGCGCGGGAACAGTATTTAACGGTTGATCGATTCACAGGAATGTACGTGTTCATGCGCAAAACTTAACTAACACGATAATACCTGGTCACCATTTGCAGTAAGAAAACAAATCTTGTATTCGTCTTATAACACATCTTTTCGTTTTATCATTTTATTTATTCATTAATTCCGGCGATAAGCCTATATATGGTCTGTCGAATTAAAAGCTTAGACACACTCTCATAAAGAAAAATGTTATTCATTGCTACGCCATAAAGTAATAGGTAAAAATGGCTTGGTTTCGCATATCATTCATTTTGTTTCCTTGCAGTTGTAGCATCGTCTGATGGGACTCTTTATTTCTTGGATATGTATTCGAAGATAAAACCATGAGTTCAACGAACACGAAAGGTGCTGAGCAATACGACCAAAGGAGACGTTAGAGAAAAAGAAACTCAGCGTATACGAGGAAAATGAGGTAAGAGCAAGCCTTAGCAGTAGTATTAGCCTAAGTAAACTCAATTAGCACCCATTTGTAAGTTCAGAAGGTTATCATTGTTTGGGCAAACACCGGATACATCAAATACATTTAATTTTCTAAATTTCATCAAAATTACACACCGCCATCTACGTAATCTCGTCTCGTATGTATCTGCTAAAGTATATGTCTAAATGTCTACATATTATGGCTAATATAACTTTGAGTAATATACTTTGCATACCAAATACCGTAATACAATATCAGTAAAATTATTAATAATATTAGTAGTAGTAGTAGTAGTAGTAGTAGTAGTAGTAGTAGTAGTAGTAGTAGTAGTAGTAGTAGTAGTAGTAGTAGTAGTAGTAGTAGTAGTAGTAGTAGTAGTAGTAGTAGTAGTAGTAGTAGTAGTAGTAGTAGTAGTAGTAGTAGTAGTAGTAGTAGTAGTAGTAGTAGTAGTAGTAGTAGTAGTAGTAGTAGTAGTAGTAGTAGTAGTAGTAGTAGTAATAGTAGGCCTAGTAGCAGTAGTAGTAGTAGTAGTAGTAGTAGTAGTAGTAGTAGTAGTAGTAAAATCAAACTATTATTTAAAATTGTTCAGTAAATGAAATTTAAAAAAAAAACATAAAACAGGGTCGTAATGAAGTAAAGACACGCATGATAAATGATATACGTGTGTTAGAATGTTTATGGTTATGTTGGTCATTTATGCCATCATTTTTAAAGCTATAAAAAGTCAGGTAAGCTTTCATTTTCCTTTTATCATTAACAATAGACCTGTCAATCAATAAATATCTCTGTAATTGGTATTAATAGGAAAGCCATGTCTTCCTGTAGAATTCAACTTTATTGGACTTTTAGTTGTTTGACCGTCTTCACCATTGCCTACTTTAACCTTTGTCGATATGTCGATAAATGTGTCATTTGTTGAAGCAACCTGTTAATTCTAATTAAGGTCTTAACCGAAATATATCAAATTGTTTCACATAAAATCAAAATTTTTATTTATAATTGTTCAATAAATGAAATTAAAAATTTAAAAAAAAAAAAAACATAAAACCGGGTCATAATAAAGTAAACACACGCATAATAAATGATATACGTGCGTTAGAATGTAGACTGCGCATGTGCGCAATTATTGTTGCTTGAAAGTGCACCACGCATGCTTACGTCAACTACACTCACTTCAAGTGTATAAAGCAACATTTAACTGAATCAAGATCATTCATTCCTATGATATGCAGTATAATTGTTATTCCATGTCGTTTATAATTCCTGTCATTTAGTTTATTGCATGTTTTCAATGAAAAGTCATAAATCGGATTTTATGTAAAAAAAATCGCTTTCCAGAAAAAAACAATATCGTATAATGATTTGCAATTTTATGTAGATATGTATACGCTTACACAAACATACACGAACTAATTATTTCGACTTCTTTCCAGGAAGAAATAATTGACAGTTGCAACTACTTACTAGGGAACAAGTAAATACCGCTTGGGTAATTGGCCATTGGAGCAATTTGTATTTCCGAGTCAGACGACGCTTTTAAAAAGACTTCGTAAAGAAGAACTGCCAAAAGAAATCTAGATCTGGATATATACGTACGTCTGAATGCCCGTTAAAGATAAATCGGACATACAATGAGTGATGGAATCGTGGTATTTATTTCTTGAAGTTCTTATAGCTATTTCCTCTGTCATCGGAAATGGATTCGCGTTGTGGATTCTATTTGTCACTCCACGTCTTCAGACCATCACAAACCACTTTATAGCATCTCTCGCTTTTGCAGATTTTTTAGTCGGACTCCTTGGGATTCCGTTTGCGATTCTCACAAGCCTCGGCCTCCCGGAAAATTTTCGAGGTTGCCTGATTATGTTAACTTTCCTACTATGGCTATGCGGTACGTCAACGTTTAGTTTGATAGGCGTGACTCTAGAACGTTATGTAGCCGTACTATGTCCTCTACGTTACCCAAGCCTAGTGACTGTTAACAAAACATATGTTGTAATAGCAATATCCTGGGCAGGGGCTGCTATTATTGGTTTTCTGCCAGCGTTTGGCTGGAATTTGGGTTGGAACAGCGATATGCCCAAGTGCTTTTTTATGGATGTGATTGATACTCGATATATGGTCTTCAATGGCGCTATGGTCATTTATCTACCGTTTATGGTTATGTTGGTCATTTATGCAATTATTTTTAAAGCTATAAGAAGTCAGGTAAGCTTTCAGTTTCCTTTTATCATTAACAATAGACCTGTCAATCAATAAATATAATATATCTCTGTAATTGGTAATAAACGGAAAGCCATGTCTTCCTGTAGAATTCAACTTTATTGGACTTTTAGTTGTTTGACCGCCTTAACCATTGCCTCATTTAACGTTTGATCTTTTGTTACATAATTTTGAAAGCACTCTCTGTCTTGAAGTGAAAAGAAAGAGAAAATCCTTATTCCATATTTGAATTGCTTATATTTAAGCAAGTAATTAACTTGCAATTAGTCATTAACGGTTACCCGTAGGCTCACCCCTATATCTGTCTCTTATACACATCTAGATGTGTATAAGAGACAGATATATATATTATCTGCGTCTGAATGGTTTGATCCTATTAAATGAGTTATTGAACATTTAATTTTTGTTGTTTTTCTGTGGTTTTTTTTTTGTTGTTGAAAAGACAGTGTATCTCCTATAAAAATTCTATCTAATTAGCACATATACATAATAGGTGATTTTCGTCATGTACTTCATTCATTATGCTTATGTGTTATTAAAGCAACTTAGCTATTACCAATTAGGCCAACTGCGACGATCTTTATGTACCTATTTATAAAGGGCACTTTAGAAAACAGTATTTTCCAATTACAAAACATTAATAAAAACGATTTTAAAATAGAACGACGGTATATAAAATGGTTGCTGAATCAAATTATTAAAAATATATTGAACAAATTAATATTGTGACCCGTCGCATTAATTTAATTCACACTAAACAAAATACCAAACTTTTAGCTACATTTAGGCCTGGAATGGGCTTAAACATCGGCATTTATTTGGAGCCCAAGCTGAAACTGAAAAATTACCCATCTTCCTTTCAGGTACGGCGTATACGACCAGGTGTTGCTGTACCATCTGTATCAAGGACGGGAATCGAGCAGCCTAGTGTCCCATCAACATCCACCTCTGTTTTGTCCAGCTCGCTCAAACAGGAGATCCGCGCGGCCAAATCGCTCGGAATAATTGTAGTATTCTTCATGTTGTCCTGGCTACCACTGACTGTCATGAACACAGTATTTGCTCTGCACCCATCGTCTGCAGCGAGTTTCCCGCCAATGCTCCTCAAATTCTTTATACTTTTGTCTCATGCAAACTCGGCTGGAAATCCATTGTTGTATGCTTATGGAAAAGACTTTCGAAACGCTTATAAAAAGAAACTTCATGAACTTTTTCCTTGTTTGAGTGATGCCCTGAAACCAAGTTCTAGATCTGTGTCGGACGAAGTCCAGTCGGCGCAAGTGATATCACCTATTACATTAGACAAGAAAACATCACAAAATCCTTCAATCATAGCGTAGTACGTGGATTTGGAAATACGACAATGTCATTAAATATAATGTAATTTTATTTATAATAATGTTCATTATTATTATTATTATTATTATTATTATTATTATTATTATTATTATTATTATACTGCATTATTATTATTATTATTATTATTATTATTATTATTATTATTATTATTATTATTATTTTATCATTATAATAATTATTATAAGGATGCTGTGGATTGACAGCATAAATGGATTTTGTAAAATCAAACTTATGAAAACAATAATGACATTGATTAATATAACCTCACAAATTGACCAAAAAATGTGTATATTTAAATTTCTGTGACATTCTTCAACGTATTTCCAACATTAAAGTATTACTAAGTCGAGCGCACTGGTGGTAACACACTATAGTGCATCAAGTGAGTATGTGTAAATTCGGCTACGCGCTATATTATCACAAGCAATCAAAGATGGAGAAATCAGGATGTTTATGTTAGTTAAAAGCCTAAATTGGTATTCGAAATGCCCTACTATACATTGGCTTAACTTAGAGGCATCTTACTATCTAATAGACACTCTTACCAGGGCTGTATCCAGGATTGCCAATGTAGGATGCATGGGTGTGCACATATGCACAAACTGGGGGGGGGGGTTACCTAGAATTCCAGAGACGTCAATAGCAAGGGGCAGCTTCAGTATTGTAGAGATCTAAGGGCCGAAATATTGGCCTACCGATACAAGTATAAAATTTTAAGTTTTCTAAAAATCTTATTACAAAAAAATAATAAATTTTCCATTTAGCAAATTCTCGACTGTCTTAAAATGTGGACCTTTTCCGTTTATGAGGACGGTGCATACGCACCCATTGCATCCCCCTGGATACGGGCCTGTTTTTACTCATTGAGTATGATCTAGGCCTAGTAGTAGGCCTACAGATTATACTGGATACTTTGGACAATACATAGAATTGAAAATGAATTCATTAAGAAAACTGTAAGGCGATATCAAGTTATGAGTATCAATAACGACATGATTTATAATAAGTCTCATAAATTTAACTGATAATCAAACAAGTGGTCGCTTCTTTCTGGGAATTGAGACAACATGTATAATGACAATATTTTAAGTGAGGCATTTTATTTTATGATAATGCCTAGTGATGATTTACAAACTTCTAATAGTATAAGTACCAATATTGAATTATAATTTATGAAATCAAATCAGCCAGGTTAATGCTCTAGTTATCTTCGTAGAATTGTTAGTAAAACGGAAGTTACAATATTATCAATGACATGTCATTAACGGTTACCCGTAGGCGCACCCCTATATTGTCTTGATAGCCGTTGAGGCAAAAAAAAAACTTCATGTAGCATAAGGTGATAGTGATAAATTCTTCTGATTACTTGGAATGGGCACGAACTCAATAAGAAGAGGCGTGGTGACGACACTGACGACTAGTGCTGTCGTTTAATATGATGCGTATCAGCCAATTTTTGTCAACTAAAGTTAATACACATCGAAGCATTTGGGTAGTTACATTAAAGGCATAGTAGTTAAGGAGGAAAAATGTAAATTGAATGAAGTGAGTGTTTGTTAGTAATAGTGGAATTTAAACTGCCACAGCAATTCTGAATCTATCTGTAGGACTGTAAATTTTTGACAAATATATTTATATTTCCACTTGATTAAGTAAGTTTAAAAACAATTTAAGTTCTCGTCTTCCTAGCAAGTTTGTACATATCGTATATTGATATCAACTAATTTTATTTAAGGTTATCATATATTCTGATGTCATTGTGTTAAAGTGAAAATAAAAGGTTTTTATCTTTCATTTCATTCTTCCTCCTAATTGAGTTACTACCATTTAAAAAAAAAACACTTCGGGCTCATATACAATGAATGTTTGAAGAAAATGTGTATCTAACAAATCTGTCAAGTTCAGAAACGTGTTTATATGGATATACTTAAGCATAATTCATGAATATTCTTGAGTATCTTATGTAATTCTCTAACAAGCCTGTGATTATTCATATTAATGAATGTATATGGCCTGTTGCATTGATACAGAATGTTAAACAATAATGATCATGTAAAATCATCTGAACGTGTTCCCATGACACCTGGACAAAATGGCAAAACTTAAAAACATTATTAATTAAATTAGCTATGATAACTTTTCGGGTTGTTGGTTTTCTTTAATATTAATGAGTGCCATTTTTAGCCCAGATGTGAGAGACACACAGTTACGAGTTACTTTAATGCGGTTAGGAAGCCAACATAATGATTATGTCATGGGCCTATAAATTGTAGTTTTTAGATGTTGAAAATAGTTTGTCAGATTTTAAAGATCGACAGTAGGCCTATGCCTATATGAAAATAATAGTCAAAATATTAAAATCTATACGGTACTGATCGATGATTTGACAACATACCGGTACTTATTCATGTTCTAAAAAAATTAACATAAAACTTGCGACTTAGTCCGCATTTCGTGGAAACAGGACACCTATTATAAGATTTTTCTGAACAAATTTTGTTGGAATTTACAGTAGCTAAATAAAGGCTTGGAATGTCAAGTAAATAAGGTGTCAGGACTTTGTATTAAAACTGCAAAAAAACGCTGTGAGATGTAACTCTGTCCACTTGCTCTGTCTTAGTTAAAGAAGAATAAAATGTTCAAGTTTTCAAGAGCATGTGTATTTGGAATATGTAACAAAGTCTTGTTTTTCAGACCCCAAGGTATAGATTCAGAACTAAAGACTTAAGATATAAACTCCGAAACATTACAAAGACGAGAACATAAATGGGATGATAAATCATATAATGAAGTAGCTTGGAATTTTCCTAGTGAGTTTGTAGAACAAAATGTACCGCGGTTCAACGGTAGACCTCTTTAAACGACGAAGGCGCCGGTGTCTGAACTTTAAGCAATCGAGAAATTGAGGCAAGATTTCTATATTAAGACAAGAGCCATCAGATTCAGTGTTGAGAGATTATGTTACCATTACAGTTTACGTTTCCGTCTATGTTTATATTAATATCGAATCGGCGGGCATTTCTACGACAACGGAGTGTTATAATTATGTCTTATGTTTGTAGTGGAACATCAAGACTTCTTGAGAATAATAACAACGTCCCACACATATAGATCTAAGTAATTAAACGAGCATCATCAAGTTGTTTCATTTTACTCTGCTAATACTTAAGATTCCTACAGGTTTCGGATTTAAAATGAAGTGGACGAAATTGCGCGGTGGGTTTATGTTATAGCCGCCAGATTAGTTGGAAATACGCGTTTATTGTGATTTAAAACGCGTTATACGAGCTAAACTATTCCGAGAACATTGAGAATGAATCGATTAAGAGGTTTAATCTGATACTGAGTATGCTATATAGTCTTCTTGTCTATATAGTCGAGAGAGACTCGCATTTACAATAATGCGGTTTTGCAAAATTTACTCAGTTTTATTGCATTTAGAAGTTGAAGAATCGCACGATTTAATAAAATTCATCCATATTGAATATCAAAATGGAAAAACTAGATACTGCATATCGAGTAAGCTTGTTCTATGATTATTCTGCTTTTTAATGTTTTGAAATGTGTAACTTAAAATGCAAACCGTATTCTGTTTGCCCTTCAAGAGTTTTCCATTTTCTTTTCGTGCGTATACAAAAGCTTGAACTGGCATACTTTTTCAAAAATAAACGCAGGCCTAATCTTCTTCTTATCTATTTTGTTCAACCTTAATATAAATTTCTCAGACATATGACGCATAAAAACATTATTTTTTATGATATAATTTAATTTCTGAATAAATTCCTATATATATATACAGATAATGGTCTTATCTAATTTACGGAGAACTGTTTTATTCTGCATATCATCAATATTAATATAAGATAATAAAAGTATTGTATATGGATAATAAATTGTTGACTAACACGTTTATAAATATAAAATATACATATTTATATTATCAATCAATCAAAATCATTTTTTGTATTCAATCAATCAATTTATTTCTTCAAATACCCCATCAAGGGGAAGAGAAATAGAAAAAGCACATAAATACATAAAAATTCACAACAGAAATTGAATTTTAAAACCAATACAAACTAACACGCATCCAGAATTAAGCTTGTAGCATAGTAAATTAAAAGGTTTTTTTTTAAATTAATAATTATAGGCCTATCCAATGAAATAATAAATATTTTCTGAGGCAGATAAAGAAACATTGTTTGATTTCTTATCTTATTTTATCTTATCTTATCTTAACTTATATTATCTTCATATTTCATTTATATTATAATCCGGCCATCCCCACATTGATATTATTAACCATCCTCAAATTTTAATTATTATTCGGATGTCTTGCTTATTATTTTAAAATTAGATGTCTAATTATTATTTTAGGTGTCAAATAAACGTATAAAAATCCTGGACAAGCTTAATAAAAAGATAATAATATAAAAAGGTAATTAAATAAAATTAATGTTAACAATATATTATATAACAATATATTATATATATCGAATGAAACTGTGTTTTATATATATATATACATATACATATAAATATACATATATAAATTTTAATTATTATTCAGATGTATTGCTTATTATTTTTATTATTAGATATATTATTTTAAAATTAGATGTCTAATTATTATTTTAGGTGTCAAATAAACGTATAAAAATCCTGAATAAGCTTAATAAGATAATAATATAAAAAAGTAATTAAATAAAATTAATGTTAACAATATATTATATAACAATATATTATATATATCGAATGAAACTGTGTTTTATATATATATACATATACATATAAATATACATATATATATATATGTATATATATATAGGCTTATGTATATTCATACGCTGTAAATAAATACTCACAATCACAGCCACGACGCATTCTTCACGAATTATTTCAGTAAAGTCTTTATTAGATGTTTCAAATAAGGTTGATGTAAATGGGCATTGAGAAATGGCAGTTGCGATACATTTTAAATTTCATTAATGGGCTAACCATTTAACTAAGGTCGTCCTTTTTGGTCATTACTGGAGATCGCATAATCAATCATAATTTAATCGTAAACATCCTACTAAATATAAAGCGTACGGGATGTAGAAATAAATTTAGCTTCTATATTTATGGGTGATAAATCTGAAATTTCTAGAAAATACAATCATTTCTTATTCTAGCAAATTACGATAATGATGATGATAACGATATGCCTAATATTAATAGGAGTCCCAAAGAAATATTTTAAAATTAATCAATGTCTTGTCGTCCAAATGCTTAAAATGGGAACGTATAAGTGACGATCTCCGTTATTCAGAGCTCATCGAGAATTGGCGCTGTGTAAAAGACTAAAATATCAGAGATTTCCAATTCGAAAAGTTGTTTTTGTCAGATTCCTCTTTTTTACGGTAAAACTTATAGCATAACATAACATATGTGTTTGTGAGAGTATATATACATATATATATATTATATATGTTTATATACATATTATATATTATATATATATGTATATATACATATATATACAAATGGATATATAAAAATAACGGTGCTCAGATAAGAACATAATATGTTATTATCGTATCAAACATAGGCGTGTCTGTATCGGGATTCGAACCTACAGCCTATCGTTATCAAGGCCAGTATCATACCGTTAGAACATAGAGACCCATACAATATATGCGCAAATCTAACCCAAAGTACTCTCTTTCATACAACTGACATAAGTACGAATTATAATATAAAATAAGGATTATTATTCAATGCATATACGCCATGAGTGATCCATGTAATTTCCAACGTAACTATAAACTTTAATACAAAATCAGAACACGGCGTTGAGAATCCAAGTACCCAATCAAAACGACTGTCCTTGGCTAGATAATGAAACAAAAGGGATCCTTTGTTTCAGTCGCATATTAAAGAAAGTGAAATTAACTGCTTCGGTTTGATTTCACCGAATTTAAGGCTTAACCTTAAACGTATTTATTAACTAGAGCAATCACTCCATAGAGTGCATACCTCCTCCGCCCTGTGTCTGAATACCCTAAAAAAAGTAATGTACTCATGCATTGTACATTTTTTTCTTGAGCGCTTCCTGAATACAGGGGACAATTCCATCATTTTCTTTTATGCTCAAGGGTGAATAATTTAATTTCTATGACATTGACATTGTCCTTTGAATTGAATGGTGTCTTCCTTCGATTATTACTATCATTCCACTAGATTGATGATGATCTATTCATTAGTTTTTGCGTAATCTTACTAACAGACAGACCGACTGACAGACAGAAAGACAAGCGGCAGTGAATACATAACCTCCTTCAAATCAATTCAATGTATACATGGCAGTATACAATGGTCCGTATGTGACGATGCAAAAATATGTAAAGATTAATAAAACAGGAATACAAAAAGAAATGGACATGACACTAAATACCATAAAGTAAGATCAGACAGTAAAAAATACTAATTTAGTATTAAGTATGTTGATTCCACAACACCAATTTTCTATTCAATCATAGAAAAGAGAACAAATCATTCTGTCATTAGTTAGAAAACTGTCAAAAGAATGCAATGAATTGCATATCAACATCGCTGCTAAAGTAGGGAGTTATTACTGTAGATAACTCAATTGAAGAAAAGTCATGATCTCTGCAAGCTCTTTTTAGATTGATTCATGTGCTACGACATTTTTTAGCAAACCATATTTACAACTACGTCAAATTCACTTTCATGTTGACGTCACAATTTTGTTGCTTAAAAAAATTGACGTCAGTCACCTAAATGCGCATGATTAAATCGATTGTTTGACATGACGGAGAAAAGAGATAATTTTCACAAAGCCTATTTAAATAATTTAGGGTATTCTTCATCCTCATAAAAACTAATGACTAAAAGCATCGCTACACGCCGAATGCCCTGCGTTACCCTATGTACATCTGATCCATTCAAAAGCTCATGAAGCACGTTTTATTGAGAACAGGAAGAGAGAATGGAAGCTTCCTAAATTGCGTTTTCGTATAACTTGAGCTAAATCGTTTTCAATCTGTTTATGCTTATATCTTGATACTTTAATAGAAAATGCATTAAATTCAATTTAGAAAACCGAAGCACGCTTTTGGGAATGAATTGCATCTCAGGATGATTTTCCAAGTTTTAGGTTATACACGATGTTTAGACATTCGTCATATGCATCAACAGTATTACATAATTCAGCCATATTTCCAAGAGCAGTCATTAAACTGTTTGCCCTTTATGCTAATGTAATAATGCAAAACTGACTTTTCACTCTTTTGCGCATGCGAAGGTGAAAATAAAACAAAAGCATTGCTGAATAGCTGTCTCTTATACACATCTAGATGTGTATAAGAGACAGGCTGTAGACTTTTTTCTGCTGTATTTAATTTTAAAATGTATATAAATAAATATCTTCTCCGGGTACACTGTCGCCTTCAACCTCCTGAATTGACAACAGCTTTTAGGCACATGTTCAACTTATCATTATTTGAGTTCCAAAGAAGCTTAGAAACGCAAATCAACTAGGA